TATTTAAAGAGAATATGGCGGTGACCTACGAGATATTTCACGTTTGTTGGGTGGTGGTGGTGTACGAGATGGTGGTGGTGCTGGGAGCGGTGGCGCAGCGGTTAGCGCCCTGCGCTACGAACCCGGCGACGCGAGTTCAGTGCCCGCTCACGACCACCATCAGTGACGATTATCTGAACCGGTCCTGGGCCTCCCCTAGGTCGACACAGCCTCAAATGAGAACCTGGTGCAGTGCGTAAACCTCAACACTAGGGAGACAGGCAGCCGGCGTGGTGCTGGCCACCCACCCCCTCGTGTGCCGTGCCGGCCTTCATATGGTGCTTGATGGCGCTTGCCCATCATCGGTGCATGCCCCAGCAGTTTGTAAAAGCTATACGGGGGATCTTTGTCTTTGTCGGGTGGAGAGGGTAGAGGTTGTGTAAGGTTGGTGGTGTGGGTGGTTGTGTGTGGTGACGGTATCGGAGGGCGTAGGGCGGTGGATGTAGGAGGTGGCTGTGGGTCCAGGGGATGTGATTGTGGTGGTTGTGTGTAGTGTGCGGGTGGTTGTAAGTGATTGTGTGTGGTTGTGGATGATTGTGTGGTGGTCTGTTTTTATGTGTGCCACCGTGTGCTCGAGTAGCTGTGTCAGTGTGTGAGTGTTCTCGTGTCAATGCGTCTTGCAGTGTCAGTGTGTGAGTGTGTTCTCGTGTCAATGCGTCTTGCAGTGTCAGTGTGTGAGTGTGTTCTCGTGTCAATGCGTCTTGCAGTATCAAGTGTGTTAGAGAAGGCTACACTCTCGAGTCGATGTAAGTGTACAAGTGTCAGTGTGTGTCCGTGTTTGTATATATGTCTATATATATACAAACATGTCTATATATACAACACTCTATATATAGAGTTTTGTGTATATATTGTGGAAGTTTGTGTATGAGTGGTTACATCTTTGAGTGCCGGTCGTGTGTTTATGCGGTAATGCGTTATATCCAGAGTGGGCTGTTTTGAGTGCGTTCGATTTTTCTCGCTAGAAGCGTAGATTGGGCTACATTCGTATCGAATTTGAGCTGTCTAGCCCTTTAAAACACCATTATAGTTTACATTGGCAACTTTTTAGTTTACTCAGCTGTCTGTACATTACAGATATCTATAATTACATAGACACGTGTTGTATGCTCCATATCGTCCGGATTATAAGACGCACACTTTACCCTTTAAATTAAAGCAAAAGTTGGGGGTGCGTCTTATAATCCGGTAGCTGCGTGTGGGTGTATGCGTGACTCTACTATATGTTTAACTTTATTGACACCGGGCACATAGTTCTGGGCACGTCTTATTTTCCGTTGCGGCTTATGCAGACAAGAGGGTTTATGCATTGACAGTATCACAATATTCTAATATGTAATTGCCATCAATTGACATATGACACGATTGCATCAACACACGCACACAAAGCAATTGCAAAATACACATTGGACCTTAAGAAAAAAAAGTATATTTTAATCCAGCCCACTTTGCCGAAACACATGCGATAACGGTCATAGATAATATATATTAAACTAAATCAGAGAAACAGTCCCTATTGAATCCTTTATATATAAGTTCATATACTGCATTTATATAGTACAAGATAGCGGGGCGGGTTCAAACCATGATATAGTATACAGAATACATAGCAAAGTGCATTACTATAATGAACACCACTCTATATTACAGCGCTCCTGTACATAGTCGATGCTGTGTAATTGGGATGAGTTTCAGATTGGTAAAAATTCGTTTTATTTTTTTACAAAAGTGTCAGATCATTTACAGTTTGTAAATTATTTAAGGTATCTTCGACGCTAACAAAAGTGATGTCACCCGATGCCAAGTGGCATATCACGTGATGCCCATTTCCTGTGACGTCGTCCTTTCGGATATATCCGATAGGGAAAACGTTTTTTTTTTCGATCATCTGGAATTTCGTATCAAGGCCTGATTTTCGGATCGATGGAAAAATCGCGGACACATCTCTACAGTTTATAGACATACATACATAATATATGTTTAAAAAGCACCACTCGCGCCGTATAGAATTAATAACTGCATGTAAAGACTGTATCGTAATATATTAGAGAAAAAAAGTTTTGCTGGCTGACTTCATGGATTCCTGCCTGCCTGGCTGGCTTCATGGATTCCTGCCTGCCTGGCTGGCACGCACGTGCGCGAGCGCGTGCAATGGCGTCACTGAGCGCACTTGCGCGATGACGTCACCCGCATCCCACATCGTTGATTCTGGTTCATGCGTGCTGACGTCACACCTCCGCTCCCCATCCACCCTGCCGTGTATCCCGCGCAAATGCGATAGAGGAGGGAGATGGAGGGGGGGGTCTATTCTATTCTTGCGTATGATGACAATATGTTCAGCAGCTAAATGCCAATGTCGAGGGCTGCTCGCCACGACTTGGGGAGAGAGTTCACGTCGTGTTGCTGTTCCTCCAGCATTCAGTGAGCACAGACTGCAGTGGTACGTAGTGTGAGTTGCATTGCCACAGTCGCACTGTGGCTTGGAGGTCAGGTTTCTGGCCACAATTATAACCCATAGATATCTTTCAGCGGGGTCACAGCGAACTGGCTAACCACGGGATGAAGCCCAGCGCACTATGCGGTGGGAGGTGGGGGAGGGAGATAGCGGAGGGAAGAAGAGATGGAGGGGGGGGGGGTGCTGGGAGAGACTTAAAAGGACGTCAGAACGAGAGGAAAAATCGAGAGCAAAACGGAAAGAGGAGAGCGAGGAGGGAACGCGGAGTATAGAGAGGCGAGAGAGACTGCGACGGGAGAAGGGAGAGGCGAGAGAGAGAGTTAGAGACAGGGAGAGAGATAGGGCGGGAGGGAAGTGGGTGAGACACATGGGAGGGAGGAGATGAATATAGCGAGAGAGAGAGGTTGATGAGCGGACAGAGGAATAGAGAGACGGAGACAAATCGAGAAGTCGACATACATTGCGATGTACAGTACAGAGAAGGCAAGAGAAAGGTGGAGAGAGGTGACTCTGTATGAGGTTAAAAGTTTTGCTGGCTGGGAGGAACGAACGGTCACGTCCAAAGGACGTGCGGTTTGCTAGTGTATTAAACAGTGCGTGTGTTATTACACGTGGCCTCTAGGTGCACGTAGCCTGGCACAAGCGTCGTGGTGACGTCACCGCCACTTAGTGGGGAATGGCGTTTGTTGTTTTATTATTAACACGGAGAGAAAGATTACACCTCAAATGCAATTCAATACTTTCAGAGCTACATTTTGACTTTCGTGACTGCAGGAATTCATATTCTTTGGTTCTTTCGGTAAAGTCACGTAGATAGAAGAACAATAATAATAAAAGGAAAGTCAATAAAAATAATAAAATAAACACCACAGCGTTTCGATCGCGACACACGCGGCCGTCAACCTGATGTTTTTATTGTTTTTATTTTTATTCAATTTTTTTAAAATTATTTTTCCATCTACGTGACTTTACCGAAAAAAAACAAAGAATATGAATTTCAAAGCTTTTGTCAAAACACTGCTGGAGGGTTGTTTGAACGTACCACGCCACGCTAGTCAGTGGCGGGTTAGTGAAGTTGGAGGCTCTGGAGCGGTTCAGATACCACTCGCCACTGACGTTCCCCGTGGCCAGGAATCAAACTCAGGTGGCCAGGGTTCACAGTGACTAACACGCAATGAAAAACATGCTTTGATGTTGTGTCGATAAGAAGGCGGTAAAAGCCATCTACGCACTGGTTAGACATTACCAAATACAAGTTTTAATTTAAGGACCCTGTTTTCATAAAGATTATTTTCTAAAAAATACCTCCCAATGCTGCTTGCTCTCGTCTTATTGCAAATAATTCAATGTCGTTGTTAGGTTGACGAAGATCGTCAGCCGAAACGTCAAATTATCTTTATATCTCAGTGACATAAAAAAGATGCGTTCTATCTGTTGCAGATGGTCAATTCATGGCACGTGGGTTTATTTTAATATTTCGTTGCTTCAATCCCCATTTCCACCCGCGATTCTCAACGCGTGTTGACCAGAGACGTCCCAGTACACATAGCAATTTTGGACCAACATTGGCACCTGGTTCCATCCATTGGCCCGACGTGGCCCCAACGTTCCATCTATACCGGGTTGGCCATTGTGGCCTCAGTGACTTCAGTTGCCTGCTTGGGAGGGGGGGAGGGGGAGGACAGGGGTGGTAGGGGGGGGGCTATAGAGGGCTATAGAGTTGCCAACTCTGACTGAAGCTAATCCGGAATGTACATTAATGTTTTTTTTTCTTAAAATATCCCGTTCAAATCCCACGGTTTGCTTTCAATGGTCACCGGGTGACATCGATGCCAATTCCGGTAGAGCCTCTGGGCTAATCCGGAAGGGTTGGCAACCGCAGGGGGCAGGTCACCTCACTAAGTGGGTTCCGAACCACTGCTTCGAGTGTTGTTTTACAGCCAAAAGACGGTGCACGCACGCACGCACTTAGCGATGACGACCCAACGTGACAACGGCAAGCGAGGAGAACGTTGTGGAGCAGGAGGCCCCGGGGCCGGCCCAGGACCACGCTGCTGCTGCTGCTGGCGGGACTCTGCCGCTCGGCTGGCCTGGGAACGCCTCGGAATTCCCCAGGAAGACGTTAGAGTCTCTGTGTAGTAGTGTAGTTTATAGTGTAGTGTATAGTCGTGGAGTGTATAGTGTAGTGTATAGTAGTGTAGTGTATAGTAGTGTATAGTAGTGTATAGTAGTTGAGTATAGTGTAGTGTCTAGTAGTGTAGTATATAGTAGTGTATAGTCGTGTATAGTGTAGTGTATAGTATGTATCGTAGTGTAGTGGATAGTGTAGCGTATAGTAGTGGAGTGTATAGTGTAGTGTATAATAGTGTATAGTAGTGGAGTATATGGTGTCGTGTATAGTAGTGTATAGTAGTGGAATGTATAGTAGTAGAGTGTATAGTGTAGTGTATAGTAGTGTATAGTCGTGTATAGTGTAGTGCATAGTATTTATAGTAGTGAGGTGTATACTCGTGTAGTGCATTGTAGTGTATAGTAGTGGAGTGTATAGTAGTGGGAGTGTATAGTGTAGTGTATAGTAGTAGAGTGTAGTGTTATAATAGTGTAGTGTATAGTGTAGTGTAGTAGTGCTGAAGTCTGTGGCCAAGGACAGGGAGCTTTTGTACCGCCACGACTCAACACGCTGCCGCCGCCGCGACTCCCAGCAGGACGAGCACACGAGATGAATGGAAACGGATTCACGTTGATCGGTGGCTGCCGCTGCTGCTGCTGTTGCTGCCTTGAGGCTAATTGGAAGCGCTGCGGATGGTTTTGGGCGGGGTGGCGGGTGGATGTGGGAAGCGACTTTGTATGCGGCAACTTTAATCGACGGTCGTGTTGAGACAATGCGAGAGCTGAATTACCTAGCCAGGACCTCTGAACTCGCCAAACTACACGACACGGAAACGCGTTTATACGACTACTTACAGTATACACATTACAGTATACAGTATATATACACACACCATAACAACGTTGTCTGCACGTGCGATCATTGCTACAGTTGAACTCGAATGTTCATATGAACGATGGCGACTATGATGATGATGACCCTAATTAATATTATGTCTGTACGCATGTAAAGCATATTGATGAGGATAATGAAATATCATTACATTCATCAAGTCGTCACAGAATCATTGTAATTTCACTTAGAAATTGCGATTATTCGAATCTTTAATTATTACTTGAAACACTCGTATCATTTACCGATTACAAACGATGATGTGAGAATGGTGATCATCAGTAAAACACAATCGTCACCGCCGTTTGTAATTTTAAAAAACCCGAATACATGAGCAATGCCCCACTTGCTGTAGCCACGTGTAAGTGGTGACACTGCATGTACAACAACATTAATGCGACGTCTGGCATCACCACCATCATCATCATCTCATCATCACCACCGTTTATATAAAGTAACATTAACAATCCGTCACTTCTCGTACCGTCTGTGTATACATTCAATATACACCCTCCGCCTCCTCCATCATCATCATTATCAGCGCTCATCCCTGCCGCTCCCGGAGCCCCCGTGACGGCCCATCACAGCGGCACACTTAGCGGTCCGTCCCTCGCTCACCAGGGGCTCTGCGGGCGATCCCGGGGTGTTGCAGTTACTGTTCTCCGTGTCGCTCTCACTGCTCTTCTTGCCTCCTCCCCCTCCTCCGGCTCCTCCTCCTCCCGTGGCGCTGTGCGTCTTCACGTGCTTGCTCAGGTGGTCGCTGCGCATGAACCTCTTGTGGCACACGGGGCACGCGAAGCGCTTCTCGCCCGTGTGCGTGCGCAGGTGCCGCTGCAGCTCGTCCGAGCGCGTGAAGCGCTTGCCGCAGAACAGCCAGTTGCACACGAAGGGCCGCTCGCCCGTGTGCCAGCGCAGGTGCGCCTTGAGGTGCGACGTCTTGCCGTACACCTTGCCGCAGCCGGGAATGTGGCAGTTGTGGAGGCCCTTGCGCCGCAGGCTGGCGCCGGCGGGCCCCAGCCGCTCCGCCTCCTGGCAGTTGGGGCAGTCGCAGGTGGCCCGCCCGGCGAAGCGGCGACTCGAGCCGCGGGACGACGAGGACGAGGAGTGCGACGCGGAGGACGACGACGAGGAGGAGGAGGAGGGGTGCGACGAGGGACCGGCGCCCGCGCCGCACGGAGCCGCCAGCCCCCCCGCGCCGTGCGCCATGAGCGACGCGGCCATGGCCGAGGGCTCCGCGTACGAAGGCAGCTGCATGGCCTTGAATCCGTCCTGCGTCTGCGCCAGCAGGTGCTGCCCGGCCGACAGCAGGTGCGGGGACGCCGCCGCCGCACCGAACGCGGACGGCCCGAGCGAGAAGTCGCTGGCGTAGCCGTTGAGCGGCATGTTGTGGGACACCTCGAGCCAACCTCCCGGAGCGCCGGGGTGCACGTCCCACCAGCACGCCGACGCGCCGCCTCCTCCTCCTCCTCCACCTCCTCCTCCTCCGCCCCCTCCTCCTCCTGCCGCCGCCGCGGCCGCGGCGGCCGCCGCCGCGGCCGCGGCCGCCGCGGCCGCTCCGCCCCCGCCGGCTCCGCCACCGCCGCCTCCTCCGCCCGCGGCCGCGGCCGCGGCGGCCGCGGCCACCACCACCTCGCTGGCGATGGCGGCCGCGTGGTGGTGGTGATGGTGGTGATGGTGGTGGTGAGGGTGGTGGTGGTGCGGGTGGTGCGGGCCGTGGTGGCCCGGCTTGAACCACGACTCGTAGGGGTGCGCGTGCATGCGCGGGTACATGCTCGGGAGACTCTCGGGCACTTTGGAGACGAACGCGGACTGCGGTGGCGGCTCGTTCGCCGACGAGGACGACGACGACGACGAGGAAGAGGAGGAGGAGGATGAGGAGGAGGACGCGGAGGAGGCGGACGCGGACGAGGTGCAGGGCGCGTGGAAGAGCGAGTAGTCCCCGTGGGAAGACGAGGAGGAGCCGGGGTTGGCGAGCGAGAACGCGCTGAGCTGCGTGTACGCGTATGGGTCGCTGCCGCCGCTGCTGCTGCTGCTGCCCACGCCGTTACTGCTGCTGCTGCTGTTGCCGTGGCAGCTGCCACCGCTGCTGCTGCTGTGACAGCTGCCGGTGCCGCTGCTGCCGCTGTTGGCGCCGCCGCTCAGCATCATGCCCCGAGCGAGCCCGCCGCACGCGTTGGCCGAGGAGGCAGCAAATGCCGGCGGCCGTCGCCAGGGGTGGAACCCGGCCCTGGCGACCAGCGGGGAGCAGTGGTCGGCCAGGGCCGTGGGCCTCGCCGAGGCCCCGCCGGTTTTTTTGCACGTGGCGGCCAGCATGGCCAGAGGTGTGGAGCCAAAGCGAGGCTCGTCCTAAGAAGAGCGGCAGGGGGGCGAGACGGGGGGGGTGGAGGGAGATTAGTGGGTGGCTGGGTGGGTGGGCGGGCGGAGTGGCCGAAGTGGGAGTCTTCGTTATCGTTGGGGTCGTTTGTCGTTCCGAGTATTGAATCGCGAGTGGTCGTTCTGTCGAGCGCGGTGTTGGTTATGATTGTGATTATTATAATAATCGTACTCGTCATTGTTATCCTTTATGAATGTCATGGGATGCTATGAGCATGAATGACGCGATATAAAAACGAAAGCATTATTTGTATGATCTTAAATCGTCAAGCCGTTTTCGTCAAAATCATTGAGTACACGTAAGTATAAAAAACACGATTAAAAACGGATCATCGTCATCATGATGAGATGTTAAAAGTATAAAAATGACAAAGTTATCAAGTCTTGATTATCGTTAATTTAGAATTAATAAAAGCAAAGATTATGCAATCGTAATCATCATAATCGTAATCAAGAACATTAAACTATCACACATGTTCATGCGCATTAAATCATTCGTATAAGAATACCTGCACAGGTATGCATTCTGCATTCATATACATAGCATTTATAGAGTCATAGTCGTCGTAATTATCAGCATGAGTATACTAAACAATCAAGTTATCATTCATCTAAAAAGGATCATCACGTGTGTACAAAAGTGTAACATAACGGGCGTGCTATCATCATGCGCATGCAAAGTCACAGATCGTCGTACGCCTTCTGTTCAACTTCTCTCGGCGATTTGTAGCAATTGCATCAAGTTATGAGTACATCATCATTGTCAGTATTATCTCGAATAAATAATTGATTCATGTTAACGTCTTATAACCAAAGCAACGTCTGTCATTTTAAAATCATTGCCTTATTTAAAAAAAGCGATCCTCATTCATGGTGATGTCATGAACGCCGTCATCAGCAGCGTTCAGAAGCACGTGCTCGATTTCAGCGGCGTTCGAGACGTTGTTAAGTTTATTTATTTCCGTCCAATTTCTGGTGAAAACCTCCAAAAACATAATAAAAGCAATAATATTTTCTACATTTTACCAGGTAAGACCCACTCAGCTATGAAGCTCTTTTTTCAGAAGCGATCTGGCCACAAATGACAGCTCACCTAAGTGGCTTATGGACATTTATAGCGGCCCAATACTCAAAGCGCACGTTGTGTCTAAATGTTCAGGGAAAAACCGAAGGACCCGGGAAAAAATCCACGCGACCACGGGGAGAACATGCACACTTCGAATATATAGCAGGCGTCAGGGTCGGGATGGAACCCACGACCTCATGTGTACAGGCGAGGTAGTTAACATCTCATGGCCACCGTGGCGCTCACGGTCTATCAACAATGGCTCTAAAGTCGCAGATGCGATGCTGTCAACGTCAGCGCGTGCATCTTTCGCTCAGTGCGTAACACGACCGAAGACCAATGTCTGTGCCCATTAATAATACGGAATGTTTTTTTTGTAAGAAACATATATTAAAATTAAAAAAAAAAAAAATTAGGATTCAGATGTTGCTATTTATATGCATAGACTCAGACATATGTGTGCCACCTTTCAGAGTTCTAGCCCTTCTACAACACGTGATTCCCATCCGTCACTCAGTGTCAATGGTCGATATGTATTACACGTTCCACACAGACACTTAGCAACTCATACAGATTACTCTTGTTGGGGGGGGGGGGAGACGGTGATTGATGGAAAGACGATGGGTGTAGATACCATCGTGTAATGTACAATGCGTTATCAATCCACTGCTGGATGAAAGCCTCTTGCACGCCGTGTCGGTCCTGGGGGTTGTGTTTAACCATACTTCGCCACGCTGGTGAGTACGGGATCGTGAACATTTGGGGAGGGAGGCGTGAACTGAACCAGATGCGACTCGCCACTGACGTTAGCCGTGGACGCGAATTAAGCTCAGGTCGCCGTGATCTCAGCGCCTCGCGACGCTAACCACTGCGCCACCGCTCCAACCCTCCCGCGTCGCTCTTGCGCGTTAGCGACGCTAATTGGTGTTTGCGTGCAGACATCTGCGTGCCAATTATTATTGTCTTATTATGATTGTTGTCTTTGCGACACTTTGGCAAAGGCTCCTCCTCTGTCTCAGGCCGGCGGGGACCATTTCGCTGTGGCGAGAGTCCCAACGCGGAGCCCCCGGTACCCCCCCACCCACCCACATCCCCTCCCCCCCCCCACCATTGTCTCGCCTAATTGAGCAATACGAGTGCTCACGGCGCGCTCTACATCTGGCCACGGCGGTGGCGCTCATCCTGAGGCCCCCCCCTCCCCCATTGCGCAATATTCCCCGGAGCGTTAAACGTCCAAATTGTTTAGTTCCCCCCCCATTTTAAACAAGGATTATTACTTCTCGTAAATTAGGGGGAATCACTTCTCACGTCGTTGTGTGTCGATTGGAGTCGGTGGCACGTGGAAGAGTATAGATCTCCAGGCGTGCAGCGACAGGTAGAAATACTGGACGTGGTGTGCCGGATGAGGAAATATATCGTTCCGGGTATCCGATCCGGACAGATCGGATTTGTATTAAACTCTGGGTACTTGTCATAATCGCAAGCTCGATACACGTGTTTATTTTAAAAGGTGCATGCGAACAAATGTATCCATAATTACCTCCCTACATCTATGGACCTCTGCGTGTTGTGAAGAAGGATCTTTGCCCGAAACGTCGCATATCCAGGTAGTGTTATTGACGAATGTAAGATTGTAGTTTTTTTTTTATCAGTAGACCATATATATAATGTGTTATATATGCACAATACTCACGACACACATATATACATACAGTACAATACCGGGGTCGGATCCGAACTTTGGAAACCTTGCTCCAAGCCTCTTTGTTGGCAATCAAGGCAACTATTTTTAAATTAAAATATGTCACTTGGAAAAACCTCCTTGAGATGAGGCAATCTCGTTGGTGAGGTTTTCTATCCCGGGTTGGAAACGAACACGCAGGTGGTAACGACGTATAGACAAAACACGTATCACCCGTGTAGCCTTAACAGACTGTTGGGGCAAGTGCTGTTAGCGCCTATGAAGGCCGGCACACGAGGGGCCAACACCACGCCGGCCGCCTTTGTCTCCCTAAGTAGCGATCTTTACACAGCGCACCATGTACTTATTTAAGTTTGAGTCGACCTAGGGGAAGCCCAGGACCGGTTCAGATAATCGTCACTGGTGTTGGCCGTGAGCGGGAATCGACCTCGCAGCGCGCTCACCGCTACACCACAACACGCGCGACATCCACACACAGCAGTGGACAGACAGCGTGACGCAGACGTCAGTGGCACTGACCCCGAAACACCGGACACAATAGGCGACGTTTCGGGTTCTCCGCTGTAGCAACCCTCCTCTGCCATGAAGAAGGGTCGTTGGCAGAAACGTTGCCTATGTTGAGGTATTGTGTGCTTGTGCACCACTGCCGACGTATTAGAACAAAAGGTGAATATATTGAATAAGCGCTCCAGATACAACACGCGTTACACATACAACACGCGTCCCACATACAACACGCGTCCCACATACAACACGCGTTACACATACAACACGCGTTACACATACAACACGCGTTACACATACAACACGCGTCACACATACAACACGCGTTACACAAACAACACGCGTCCCACATACAACACGCGTCCCACATACAACACGCGTTACACATACAACACGCGTCACACTTACAACACGCGTCCCACATACAACACGCGTCACACATACAACACGCGTTACACATAAAACACGCGTTACACATACAACACGCGTTACACATACAACACGCGTCACACATACAACACGCGTCACACATACAACACGCGTTACACATACAACACGCGTTACACAAACAACACGCGTTACACATACAACACGCGTTACACATACAACACGCGTTACACATACAACATGCGTCGTATATAGCACAACGCCCCTATACAAGCTCTCAGGTGCGAGGTGTATTTATTTGTCTTCTTTCTGGGTGTGGCGGTGAGCGCTCCACACACCTCACGGTTACAAGACTCCTGACTCCCAGGTCGCTAACATTACTGCCGCGCCACTTCGCCGGAAGTCAACAGCGCTCGTCGAATGGATGGACCTTCCCCCGCCGTGGGAATATGGAATTTGCCAAACTGTTTCGGGACAAGCCAGAGAGAAGCGAGGCACCTCCACGTGATGGTAAAACGCGAATTCGACTTGTCTGTGCGTAAACAAAGGCAAAGATCCCCCGTGTAGCCTCAACAGACTGTTGGGGCAAGTGCTGTCCGCGAGTAGCACCTACGAAGGCCGGCACGGCACACACGAGAGGGTGGGTGACCAGCACCACGCACGGCCGCCTTTGTCTCACTTGTTCCCAGGACCGGTTCAGGTAATCGCCACTGGTGTTGACCGTGAGCGGGAATCGAACTTGGGACGCCAGGTTCGTAGCACGGTGCGCTAACCGCTACACTACCGCTCCCCACAGACACACACACACACGTTGGGATGCTTGGATGGAATACGCATTATACATTTGAATTACAGTATTATTATTGGTGTGCGCATATTGACATAATTTACACGGTAGCGAGATATGGCCGGTTTCTATCGGCTTTAGCGTCACACTCTACGGGAAGCTAATGATGGTGATGATGATGGTGGTGATGATGGTGGTGATGGTGGTGGTGATGATGGTGGTGATGGTGGTGGTGATGGTGGTGGTGATGTTGATGATGGTGGTGATGGTGGTGATGGTGGTGGTGATGGTGGTGGTGATGTTGATGATGGTGGTGATGGTGGTGATGGTGGTGATGGTGGTGATGATGGTGGTGATGGTGGTGATGGTGATGGTGGTGATGGTGGTGATGGTGGTGGTGATGATGATGGTGGTGGTGGTGGTGATGTTGATGATGGTGGTGGTGATGGTGGTGATGGTGGTGATGATGGTGATGATGGTTGTGATGATGATGGTGGTGATGGTGATGGAGATGGTGGTGATGGTGA